TTGCTGCTGACTTTTTGAAAAACTAGAATCATGCTCTTCCTAATTTTATATTAGTAAGAAGTCTTCAGGAATTTTATTTTATTGTCAAGATCTCATGTTCTCTGGTTATTTTTCAATGTTCTCTGTACTCATCTTGTCATTTCTCTTTGTAATCAAGACTTGCATGGTTCAGGGGCCGAGTATCTACAGGATTATCTTTCCCCCATAGTTTTGTTCCATCCATTAAGATCTAGTAAGGGATAGTCCCATACAGGCCACACTGCATTAATCCAGCCAGGAGATAACTAAGGTATAGGTGACTGTGAGCAGAACCTCTGGTCCAACAACAGGTACAATTGGTGCATCAGCTGAAACTGTGCAAAGGCTCTCCTGGCCACAACTGTTCCTGTTCCTCCAGCAGAAGCTATGATTCCTAGAGGCTTCTGGCAAAATGTAAGGTGTAGGTTATCACTGTTAAGCCTGGTCACATTCTACAGTATTTCTAATAGCTGCTGCATGTTCACTAAAATTTTACAAAGTTATGTGTACTTCAGGTCCCTTTGATCAAAATATTTGGGTTTCAGAAGTATATCTTCTGTTGTAGTTCCTGCCCCCTAGAACAGCATGTTCCCCCACCCACCCCTAAGAGGGCCACATGGCTCCCATTCTGATGATATTCAGAAAGTTCTTGGTCATTTTCCTAGGCCTTTGGGTAAGGGGTTGTTGACCTCAAACAACTTCTTGCTTGTTACATACAGTGTATGGTTTCTTTTCTGCCCGTCTATTTTTTTTATCTTTTAAAATGCAGATCATTCTGACTTGGATGGACTTTAAACACAGTAACTAAGTAAATAAGTAAGTAAATCGTCCCAATTCTTCTTGCCGTCATACAGTGACATAAACATACTGTATTTCTAAACTGTAAATGGAAGGTTAATTTCCAATTTACATTAATCTTTCAAGAAAATATTCACATGTAACAATAAAAAGACATTTTCACTGCATTCTATACTGTAAGAATGTTGTGGCTATAATGGTATTAATATCAGTTACTCTTCTTTCTTATCACCAAAAATAGTAGGCTAAGATTACTGAAAAGTTTACAAGATTATTAATGGTATGACCTATGTAAAGAAGAACATTAGGTGAATAAACCCTAGAACTTTTGAGGGATTAGGCCACTCAGTGGGGATAGAATGATTCAGAACAGTCAAATATCTTTTCATCAAACACAAAAAAATCAAATTGAACTTCATGACTATAACATGTGGTAATGTGCTTTCAACTTTCAAGGCTATTTAAAGAAAAAAGAAGCCGAAAACATGAGCAATATCCATGACAGAACTGACAAAGCCTCTATGACTATAAGCAATATCACTCTTGAGTACCAGGAAACTAACAGGATATCATTATTGCATCATACCCTCCCTGTAAACACTTGATAGTTTACATCTGACTACTACTGAGAAACAGAACACTAAAATTGTTCCAGAAAGGCACTGTTTATTATGGCTATCAAATTGCTTAACAGTCACTATTTCTTGTAAAATTGGCTGATTCTGTATTTACTTCTATGCTAAGCCTAGAATTTATTTCCATATTTAAAAGCAAAATCAATAATTTGAAAACTAATTTATGCCTAATATATTAAAGGAGAGAAGGAAAAAATAGCATGCTAACTATTAAAATGTTGAGGCTAAGGTTCAAATCTACCTTCAGCCAAGGAAACTCATTGGAAGATTTTGGTTAATCTCCATATCTCAAAAATTGAGAAATGCGAGTATCTAAGTTTCTGAAGGAAAGATGGGTATACATGTAATAATTAGGTAAAATCTAAAGAATCTTCAATGCTTTACTGTTATTTTCTAGGAAAAGTCCATGGAAAAGCCTGTGTGTGAGTTTGTTCTGCCAAATTAAATTATCTGCACTAAAAAGGTAATTCAGAAAATCAGGATAGAGGCATTTTGGAGAGTTGATGTATTTCCCCAAACCTGAGTATTTTCACTACACATTAATTAAAATATATTCAAAACTCAAAAACAGCAATTTCTGCTGCAAGTATACACATTAAGACCAATCAATATAAGCTCTGAGGTTCAATCTTTAATGAAGTCTAGATTCTTTCTAAAAACTTCCTGGAGATTTATGCTGACACTGAGCACAGGTGGAGCCATAATTTTGACATTTCATAATATAGCTATCCAATTTTAGAGAGTGCTAACAATCCCAAATACTGTTCACTTATAAAATATGTGGACATCATAACATATAAACAAACATTTATAGAGAACAAGGGGCAACCACAGGATTAGGTCTTGAGAAACAACATTGCACCTCTTAAGTGGGGTCCCTTTGTGCCATTTAGCTACAAGAAAATAGCTCACAGAACCCAGTTTTTACATTTCACTTTGATATAGTATTCAAATATCACAATTATAGAAAAACAATAATCACAATAGCTAAGCTGTTCTTAATGTAGTTTTGTTTCATTTCATCTTAGTTTTAATCGTTAATTGTTTTTAAACATATCTGCAAAGTATTTATCACTGATGGGCAGGTCATTATTACTTTTCCCTCTCGTTGTCTCTTTCCAATAATCTTATTGTGGATAAAAAAACTATTTTAGTTAATAAATATTCCTCTGTATAATCAGTCTTACAATAATACTTGACCATAAAGGTTAGCAATCAATCTAATTCATTCCCTTACTTTCTTTCAGTGATGCTTCCCTAGCAATTGGAAGGCAATCACACTATTGTCTAAGCTAACAGGTTAACGGAAGGTTGCCTGAAGAGAAAGGGGCTTCATAGCTTGGCTTGGTCAGAAAGATCAACATTTCAATATCCAATAACCAAGAGTGACTACTTCCATTCACTTGCCATTCTTTCTCCTTCCAGGGGGATAATCAAATTAGGTTCAGTATAGGCTACAAGAGGGCAGAAAACTGGAAGTCATGTCTTTCAGATACATGATTTCTAGCTTTCCCTTGTTGTATTAAAATGCAAAGAGGATCTGGGTTTGCTAAGATAACAGCAAGGCAACAGAGGACACCAGTCCCATGGCACCACACTCATATGACACCTTTTACAATTTTTATTCAGCCAGCAGAGACAGTAGCAGCGGTCCTTTTGAACTCCATTGCTATCCCGTTCTCCACTTAGAGAAGCAAGTAGCAGAGAGGCAGCTATAAAAAATAGTATTTGTTTAAATCCATTTGTTCTTTTTCTTTGCAGCGTGATGGGTAGGTGGGTGAAACATTAATATGGTCCTCTTTTTCCCACTAAAACAAATTCAGCAAGAAAATCATGGATTATTTGATGAATGCTTATATGAAACAAAATAAAGCCCTAAAAAGCACATGGTCTATCTAGAACAGAGGTCTCCAAACTTGGCAACTTTAAGACTTGTGGACTTCAACTCCCAGAATTCTCCAGCCAGCATAGCTGGACAATTCTGGAAGTTGAAGTCCACAAGTCAATGTTGCCAAGTTTGGGGACCCTTGATCTAGAACCTATCTACGGCCTATATGAACTCTTTCACTATGAACCAGTATGGTAACTCAGGTCAGTTGGAAAGGTCCTTCTGAAGAGGTTCCCAAAGGTATAGGGGTAGCTTAGCTATCTAGTCTATAGTGGAGAAAGTTTTCTCCAATGTGGTTCCCAGACTTTGGACTGCCTTCATCAAGTTGGTGTTTTTGGCCCCTACTCTCTCAGTAAGATACAGTGATAATGACAAAAGTCAGTCTCTGGTCTTTCATTTGACCTGGACTGATTTTGATTATATGAACTATAATTTCAGTTCTGATCTTAATTGTATTCTTTTTATTTTTAGATCATATAATTTGCATTTTTGGGTGCTGCAAGCTGTCCTGGGTATATATTAGTCCATAGAGAAAGGGCCAAATTTAATAAATGTCTCAAACGCTAGACATTTATTTACATGAAAATTCTTTTTTCAGATGTAACACCTCACAAGAGAAACTGAAGGAATGCCAGGGAAACAGTACACGGGTTCTAGATCCATAAATATCTGTCCACCCCAAGGAATGGAAGTCAGGTAATTAAGGTTATCAAGCATTCTTTTCTCCAGATCTTTTGAATTGGATGGCAAAAGCTCCGTTTTTCTTTCAGGAAAGCAACCGAACTTTCCCAATGTTTCAGACTATAGTCATAACCAAAAATCAACATGGGTTTGTCAAAAGCAGATCCTGCCAGACAAATCTTATTATACTCTTTGATAAAGTGACAAAATTAGTGGACCAGAGAAATGCTGTGGATATAATTTACTTGGCCTTCAGTAAGTCATCTGATAAAACAGACCACAAACTACTACTTGATAAGATGGAAAAATGTGGGTTAGACAGCATCACCACCAGATGGATTCGTAACTGGCTGACCAACCGCACTCAACATGTAGTCCTCGATTGAACTGCATCTACATATAGGGAAGTACACAGAGCCTCAAGGCTCTGTTTTAGGCCCAGTACTCTTCTACATCTTCATCAATGATTTGGACGAGGGGATAGATGGGGAACTCATCAAATTTGCAGATGACATCAGATTGGCAGCAATAACCAAAACTCCAGAAGACAGGCTCAAGATACAGACGGATCTTGACAGACTTGAACATTGGGCACTATCTAACAAAATGAAATTCAATGGTGAAAAAAGTAAGGTTCTACATTTAGGTAAGAAAAACCAAAATGCACAGGTGTAGCACAGGTAATACCTGGCTCAATAATAGTAACGGTGACAGGGGTCTTGGGAGTCCTAGTAGACAATCACTTAAATATGAGCCAGCAATGTGCTGCAGCTGGGAAAAAAAGGCCAAAAAATAATAATAAAATAAAATAAATCTCCCACCGCCCCGAAGAGGCTGGCTGAGGATGCCAGGCGTTGCCACTCAACACATCCGAAAGGCACCCGGTTGGGCCGGTCTGTTTTCATCGAAGGCGCCTTTCCCGTCTCTGGGGATGGCGGCTCCCGGTACAGCCGCCCTCGCCCTTCCCTCCCCTTCCTCACCCTTCTTGTCCATCAGCCACATGAAGGCGAAGCAAGGCACGAAGCCGATGGGCCCCCAGAAGACCAGCAGGGCGATATCCAAGCTGGAGAAGTCGAAGGCCTGGCGGGCCGAGTTCTGAATAGGGCCCCACGTATTCCACACCAGGCCCTGCACGAAGCCCAGCAGCGAGAAGAGCAGTAGCACCAGCCAGCGCCGCCCGTACACGCGGCCCGGCACCGGCGGCAGGCGAGGCAGGGGTCCCGCCGGAGGCGTCCCTCTGCCCCGCGACTCCGCCGCCGCCGCCGCCGCCGCCGCCCGATAGGACTGGCCATGCTGAGCAAACGGCGGCGGCCCGGCGGGCGGCGTAGGGGGCAAGAGGGGCTCTCGCTCCTCGGGGCTGCTCCAGGCTGAGCCCATCGCCGGGGAGGCGGCGAAGGCAGTCCCACCTGCCTGTGGCTGGCTGCTATCTTAACGTTACCCAACCGCGGTGGCGGCGGCAGCGATGTAAGCAAACCCCGCCCGGGCTAGGAGGCAACCTGGCCAGCCGCATGCGCGAGGCAGGCGGGCCTCGCCAAGGCGCCTTCCCCGCCGAAGCAGGGACGGCAAAAGAGAGGAAGCGGGTTGCCCTGTTGCTTGGGGGGCTTTCCAGATAAGCGGGGTTACAACTGTCCCTCTCCTCAACCGGGGTGCTTAGGGACAGAGGGCAATGTCGTCCCACCCGTCGGGAATCACTACCCCCCGCAAGTCGGAGTAGATTACTTTAGCCTCTCCACGGGAGAAGTGGAGAGCCAGTCCACGAAACCCGGCGAATTACAAAGAAAAAATGGAATATTAGCCTTGTTGTAGCGAAGTGTCAGTTACCAGCGCGGGAGTTTTAATCTTGGCTGGAACTGGGGGAAAGGCCAGTTATATTAATACTCTTCGGCGACATAAGGTGAAAAGAGGAATAATTGGGGGAAAAAACCGCTGGGAGCGTCTTTAGGTGGACCAAAGGCAACAGAGAAATAAGCCCGTGCCTGTTCCCAAGACCCCGGGACAGTCTCCGGAATGCGAACTTGAAAACAAAGCCACGTGATTCGGCTCAAATGATCCCTCACATGATCGCGGGTAGAGGAAGGGCTGACCGGTGACGGTAAAAGGGTGAGCCGAGGAGGAGGAGGAACTGGGAGCGGTATCTTTCTCTCCCGCCCTCTCGGACAAGGGATGGAGAGCGAAGCGGTGGCCACGGAGGTGGCCGCTTTGGAGCCATTGCACGCTGGTAGGTACGCCTGCCTGCCTTGCTGTGTTAAGTCCTGTTTGTAAAACTTCGCCGAGACACGTAAAAGTAAGGAGGAGTTGATTAAATGATGATAGCCGTTTTGACTAGCCGGCTTTTCCTGTCCTGTCAAACTTACAGGGCTCGCTACTTCAGTTAGTTTCTGTCTCGGAAATGAAATGGAAAAGGACTGAACTTCTTTCAGGAATTGCTGCCAATCGCTGCGTTCTCCCGCGCTCCTTTTTGCGTTGAAGCGGACGTAGTCACCACCCTAGAAAATATGTTCAGCATTTATCCAACCATCCGTGTATCCATCCATCCAAGGTGCTATTTATTACTAAAACAATCCCAAAGCGACGATGTGACAACTTTTAAACAATCATAAACCTCTAGAAAATCCTCACACCTTAAAACTTACAAAACCTCCTGCTAGCTGGAACAAATAAAAGATCAATATCTATATTCAATATATAACAAATACAACAACATTATAACAAATACTATGAGTATCAAGAGAACTGATTTCAGTTCTGCTCGATGTACATCATACCATACAGCACAATGAGGATAGTCACGTCAGTTCATATAAAATATCTCCAAGTGAATGATGGTCAGTCCCTTAAATATAATTTCTGTTATTAGATATTAACAAATGTTTGGAGACTAAAATATTAAAATCCAGCTATAGATGCTTTTCATTGGACATGTCTATGGAATCCGGTAAACCTATATAAGGTTAGATTCAGATGTGTAGCTTGTTTGACTATGCAATTAACTGGGTTCACTTACCAATTTAAATGAACCCACTTTTGTTCATCTTCAGCCAGGCCGTGAGGGAGAGTGAGACTCCTCACTTCCTTCCATCTGGTCTATTGCACTTGATACCTTTTATTGCTTTTATTTTATTTGACTGTTGTGAGCCACCCATAGTCATTGGAATCAGGCAGCATACAAGTTTAATAAATGATGATGAACATGATACTTGAACCAAGATAGTAATTGGTTGCATGCACATTCTCCAATCAATTCATGTTTATCAATTGCATTACTGTAATTCATCCATTGCCAACCCAGTGATCAAAAATAAAGAAAGTTATTAGGCCTTGCTTTGAATATCAGGTTCTTCTATATTGTTTCCTTTCACTTAAAAGTTGATGTAGCTGTCAAGCTATTTTTATTTTTCAAACACAATGCACTTTTCACTTCCACAAATTACACTTTGTGAGGTTTTTTTAATTATTTTCTGCTGCTCAGAAGAGGTGGGTTGAGGTTTCATTCAAGTAGAATGGAAACTTGAATATACTGTTTATGTAGCTACTCCATTTTTAACTCAGACATTCTTTACCTTCAATTTTTTTTTGGATATTTTCATTTTTGTGTCAAATACTGATGGCAGTTTAGTGAACTGACAATGCTGAAATAATATTTACCCAGGCTTCCATGCTACTGCAGTCAGAAGACTCTGAGCAGTATACAATTCCTGAATAGAATTAAGGCTAAACTATTATAATGCAACCAGTAATAATTTAAAAACATAACTAACACAACCGTATCCCTATCTCTTACATCCTGTGGAATAGAGTAATCCTTCTATTAAGTCCCATAAGTCCTACAAAAAAGCCAAGTCTTTACTGCTCAGAAAAATAGAATAGGAAAGAGGCCGTCCTTATGTTGCTGGTGAGACTGTTCCAGAGGAGAGTATGTCAAAAAGCTTTAACTTCAGGGTCCCTGATGAAAACATTCTTGTGGAGAAGGGATTGCTAGAATACCTTCTCTCACAAATTATACCTGAAGCAGGTGATCTCAGATATAAATATTAAGAACTAAGTTGTTGTGGATGCATCCGATTTTTGGTCCATCTAGCACAATATTGCCTAATCCATCTAATATCAGGATTAAGAATCCTGAAACATTCTATGTCGGATGTCAGGTATTGCATCTTAAGTTATTTTGAATATAAAGCATATATGGGTGGGTGGGTGGAAATTTCCTGATAAAACGATTTAGGTCCTCTGTCAAAAAGTTGTGCAAAAACTGGAAATAATAGAGTGTGTAGAAATGGATAGAATTCATTTTAGTACTTCTGGCTCAGTTATGTAGCTTTCTTTTTATTCATATTTATCTTTCGTGTTTATTCATTATTTGTTTACTAATTAATGACTGCTAGATATTCTCTGCAGATTTAGTCACAAATAGCTATTAATTAAGCATTATGGAGGAAATTTTTAGGTTTATTGTTACTTCATTGCTGGGCTTGTTTTAGCACTATGCATCCCAAAACAGTTTCAGTCTGATCACTCTGATTTAAAGGGGAAACTGGAGACAATTATGTAAAGATCTGGTCTTGAGGAAGAATTTTGATACATCTACAAACCAACATGATGGGAAACGTTGTGCTAAACAATAAGTGTCATTGATAACCTTGAGACTTGCTCTTAAGTAAACACTGATAGGATTCAGCTGTGAAATTACTTTTAAAAAATTGAGATGGACTAGTATTTTAGGTTTTTTTTTTTTCAAGAGACTCCTTCAAAGGGGGAAAACATAGAAAACTTATTTCTTCATCTCTTAAGGTTCTTTGTCCCTGGTGGGCATAATCATCAGAGAAAGCAACAGAATGGTCTGCATTGCTGATCAATGATTTCCCCAATCAAGGAAAGTTAACAGAGAAGTTAATATAGTAATCAGACAATTATGAAAAGTTGCCTTGTAACTTCCCAATGTGGAAATGATAGAGAAGAAGCAGGTAAAAAACAGCAAATGAGTTAGTATGGAAAATAGAATTTTCTGCATTTTACACACTTTTTCAGAGCTTCTTTTCCTCTGCTGATCTATAACCTAAAAGTATCAATTGGTTTTCAACAATTTTGTCATGGAATGTTGTTGCAATTTAGAATTATAGTTCTTGGACCCTTTTTTTGTTCCTGGAAGTTCATATCTTGACTCTTGGTGTTTTATCCATCAAACTTACTTTGATTTTCTCTGGTCTTTGGCATATAGCATCATGGTTTAATTCCTTTTAGCATGGTGTTATAGAGGCATTTTGGTGTAGGGCGGGATCCCCAACCTCCAGGCCACGGCCCACTATTGGGTTGTGAGCCATTCAGAACTGGGCCACGGAAGTGGCAGACGAGTGTGCATGTATGTGCATCCCCACTTGCGTGAGCAGCGGAAAAGTGTGTGCGCCGTGTGCCAGCCACTCGCACAGAACCATGTCCTCTCCTTCCCACCGGTTGGCAAAGCCGGAAAGGTCGGGGAACTCTGGTGGCTTCAATCTAGAAACCTGGAGTCTGGAGAAACCTGGATCTCAGCTTAGAAATAAAGCCAGCTGTGTGATTTAGACTAGTCACTTTCTCTCAGCCCTAGAAAGGAGGCAATGGCAAATCAATTCTAAATATGGAAAAATATTGTCAAGGACCTGGTAGTCTCTGAGAATCAGACATGATTAAAAGGAAGAAAAGGAAAGCATGATGTTGCCCCAACTCCAGTGTGTTGCTCTAGGGAAAAGTAGGGAATAAAAGGGATTTTCTGAATGAAAACAAGAAATAAACAGAAGGAAGGACATTGATAAATTCAGTGCATCTTTCGTGTCTACAAATAGGAATGCAGAAATGTTAAGAATATAAATAAGACAAGTAATTTAAATGTCTTAAAATAGAACTTCTATTTCAGCATAGATATTTCATGTTATTTGTACTTACTTGTAATTAAAATCATAACTGAAATAATAAAGTGTAATTAGAACATTTTAAATTGCTTTGCTTTGTAGTGCCATGGCCTGTATTTGGATATTCCTGCAGTGGTCTGACCTTTCCTCCCCAATTAATTTAACAGAGTATAGCACTCAGTGGGCTTTTTCTAGGCTATAATGTCATCAAAATTAGTTAAAGGGAAAGAATGGCACTGTTGATAAATTGATAGGAGCCAAATTAATTTCTTTTTGCAGCCAGTTGATAGCTTTCTTTCACTCTCAGGACAAATTCATTTGTAAACATGCTAATTTCATTTGTTCAAAGTGATGGCATTGTTACCCTTTCAATTTTTCACTTCATTGTGTTCATGGAAGTAGATTTATTTCTTTAGCCTGCTTGCAATATCTTTAGGCCTTCCTATAAATAGGGAGGTTTTAAAATATGTTACAGGTGCAGCAGCATGTTAACATAATAGGATTGGCTGATTATATTATACTGATTAAGGCATTTATGCTATGGGATATTGAAGGATTCTAGTCTATATAAAATCTATATGAAAGGCAGGAGTGGATGGAGAGGGCTTAGAGAAAAATGATGTTACAATGCTCACAATAACTAGATTTTCAGAATCGAGAGAAAGCTGTGCAGGATCATGGAAAATAACTACATGCAATGGTGGATTAGGTGATTGGGAAACTATGAATAAGACTTCCTCTTTTGGGGGGAGTTAGGGACATTGTCTACTATGGACCAAACATGCCATTTGGAGATCTTCCTGGATCCGTTGCTTTCAGTGAAAGCCCAGGTGTTTTTGATGAGGAATTGTTGCTCTTTTCTGGATGGCTCAAGGTAAGGATACACATATTGATCCACAGAAATGATAACCTCAAGTTGGGAGTATTGTAAATATGCTTTATATGGATTGCCTCTGAGTTTGACCAGAAGCTGAAGATGATATGGAATGCCATGGCAGGGTTGTTAAAAGTGTAACTCTGTATCACATCCCTTCTAAATAAACTGCAGTGACTGCCATTATCCTAAATGAACCAACTTTTGGCCCTTCAGAGCTGGAGTTGGATAGAGTACTTGATTAGTTTTTTTCTTTCAGACATCAGCTTGGTCATTAAGAGTGAGTTGGAATGCCCTCTTCATAGCGCTGGGTTTGATTAAAAATTGTACCGTATAGCAATTAAAGAGAGAACATACTCAGAAAGTTCACTGTTTGTAGTTGGCACCAGAGCTTTGGGCTTTTTAGTCTTGAATTTTTTTTATCTTGGATTTGACCTGTTGTGTCTTCTGCTTTCCAGTTAGGTGCTAGTACCTAATCAAACTTTGCTGATCATAAAAGACAAGGGGTGGGACTGGAATCATCTTACTAGAGTGGTTCTCCTCCTTCCTAAAGGATTCTAGTCAGTGGTATTCAGGAGGCAAAAGATGGATCCATAACCTCTAGAATATGAGATGCCACTGGGTTCAGCATTCTCTTTATTCTTCTTCAACATCTACACAATACTGCTTGGGGAGATCACCTGCCAATACAGAATTATATGTAGTGAATAAAGGGGATGGCCTTCAAGGACAGAGAGAAGATCCATTACCAAGACAGTGATTAGATAAATGAAACTTGAGCCC